ATAAATGTGCAGTTCCCCCAAATCTTCCCAAACCCGAGCTAAACAAAGACGGGTACTGGTCACTAATTTAGTTTCTGCCCTGGCAAGCGTGCACGAAACGATCATGATTAAAAACAACAAAACCGAAAGACTGGATCGAATCAATGCCGAGAATCGGCGTGAGCTCCTCATCCACGACCACAAACTCCATTCGATATGAGGCTCCGTCCCTTGGGTTAACCACATCGATGGTAGTCCAACCCCTTCGGATGAAGTCTGGAACCATTTCACATACGCAGGCGATCTTGATCGGATCGAATGCATACTCCGGAATAGTGCTTCCTTGGTAAAATGTTGCCGGTAGCACCCGTATCTAACTGGAAACGTACGACTTTACCTTCAAGCAAATGACTTGCGTAGACACATTTTTGCGATACCCTCCGAGACACGTTGCCAATGGAATGTCCTGCATCTGCAAATGACTGGTGACGAACGAGTGCACTCATCTTGGTTGCTTGGCAGCAACGAGCAACGTGGTTCCTTTTGCCACATCTGGCGCATTTACGTCCCCACGCGGGACAGTGTTCGCGGGTACTCGCGTGTCGCGCGACGCGATGCAGATCTCCTGTCTCACATTAGTAGCCTTCACTGCTTCGTCTCCGGAAATGGCACACAATTCTGTGTCTATTGTGCGTTTCATTTTTTGTTATTGTTAGGTGGTCAAGGACTCAATGTTACAGATATCAATGCACTGCTGGAGCCATAAGTTGCGTTGTCGCAAAAGCCGATTTGTCGTAGTTTCCACACTGATTCCTAGAGCGATGGGATCGTGTATGAAACTGTCGCCCAAGCATTTCTATAAATTGCAGCATCGGGCCAAAATCCTCAATACAGTGATGTACACGTTAACGGATTCGTTTGGGCCTCTGTTGCGCAAAAGGAAAAGATAGCGCTGGTAGGTCTCCTTGGTTTGACAACAAATTTAACTAAAATTTTCAATGACCGTCTCAAAATTATTGGGATCTTGGCCTTTGTCGTAGTGCAATATCTCTGGAACACGGCGCGCGTTATCCCCGCCTCGAGTCGAGACATGCGTTGTTCGTCCAAACGTATTAAGGTGCAGAAATGCATCCACTTGCCCTTGCATAGAGGCCAATTGCTCGCCAAGTTCCGTTCATTCCTACTCAATGGGACAGGCATCTGAATAGACGCTGGTAATCCGAACAGCAACTGTGCGCCTCCGGTGGGATTCACCTTTATGTTCTCTGTCACCATGTTGCAGAACTCAATTCTTCAGGGACAAGGGTTTATTCGGCAAAGACAGCTCAGCAAAAATTACAGCATGTTTAGCAACCCAAACCCCTTTATATACGTCTTGTTTTACATCCGGTCATCGCTGTGTAGAAGACCTGTGTGAGTCTACAGAAGCGACAATGGCCTGTGTGAGCAGCTATAGTGCTCGATCCATCTCCGGCACAGAGAGCTGCTCGTGGGTGTAGTTTTGCGCAGTCCCCTCAGCCGTGGTTCGGACTGGCTGTCGCAACTCCGAAGCCACTTGAGTTGCCGCCATCTTCTACACATGAGCGATTTCCACGGTCCGCGAATACCGTGGCCTGAAGTTCAATTCATGCCTGGGCATTTTGAGGTTGAAGCAAGGTTCGTGGACGTGGTACTTGAAAGTGGAGCAGCACAACACATAAGTCAACGGACTTGATGTTAACAAGCTATGAACAGCATGTATATGACGTTTAGATCTTGGAGCCTTTAGCAGCAAACGATCACTCAGTGCTCGTAGCCAGTAAGGATCTACCTATACCGTATTCACGTCAGCTGGAGTCAGCTTACAACCACTGGAAAATTGGCTTTGACTGTCTATCTTCAGTCGCGAGTCAAGTAGATTGGTCTCCGCCGCAAGCTGCGTATATGGAAGACTGATGGACTGTTATTAAGGAGAGAGTGACATTGCTGTGTTCGCTGTTTGTACCACTGCGGTGTCGGAATTTGAACCAGTCAAACCATATCGGTTGGCTACGAGTACGGCAAACTGGCTTGGCGGTGGCGCAAATTAGGAGACAACTTCCTTTTACACGGCTATAACAATGACTACGGGGCGTATAAGAAGCACTGAACTATTGACAACTGTGCTAAAACGAGCAAGCACTGGCATTTCGAACAGAAACTGGCAACCGCCGTATAGGCCGCTCCGAAAAGAATTTTCGCTTACGTGAAGTGGCGCGTCAGGTCGGCAGATGATCTAGCAATGCTAAGTTCCAGCATCTAGCGTGTGTCCGCGTTGGCGGCCCATTTCGCTTCCATGTTTATAAATGACCGAGCTCAATGTGCACTGCTCTTAACGGACTCCACAGCCTGGCTTGCGGTGTTGAAGAGGTGGGTTAACTACTCACCAAACTTGACGACAATAAACATGCTGGCCCTGACGGACTGCATCCACTGATTCACAAGTCGATATCGGCCATCATCTCACCAGCCGTGGCTGACTTGTTCAACAGATCACCATCTAGAGGTTCATTGCCGAGCGACTGGAAATGCTCAGTGGTTAAGCTAGTGTTGAAAGTGGTGAACCCAGAAAAGTAGACACAAACAGACCAATATATATGATACACAAGCTGGCCAATGTTGCCGAGAATATCGTAGAAGAAAAATCTAATACAGCTGCTCCAAACAAAGTATCTACTAGAGTCCGCACAGCACAGTTTTATGCTTGTCCTCTCATGTATCACCAACCTGTTGGTGATGAGGCATGAATAGTTCCCGGTAATGAACCAGAGAAAGTCAGTCGACGTAATTTAAATCGATTTCAGTAAAGCGTACAACAAGGTAAATCATGAGGTCCTTTCTAACAAGCTGAGAATCCGCAGTGTTGCTTGATCACTGCACTAGTGGACGAAAGTAGAGCGTACAGTTAGATGGCCATCTAATCGACTGGGATCTCTCTACTAGTGGAGTACTCCAAGGCGTGGTGCTGGAGCCCACTCCATTTATAATCCACATCCACAATCTGCCTCATCTTCCTCGGTCGCTGTTTAAGTGCAACCTGAGGATTTTTTAGGATTAGTACCCTAGACGACTGCGGCCTACATCAGCAAGACCTCAGCCGCATTTGCATGTGGCCCGCAGTGGTTCGCTCCCCAAGCAACCAAAGCAACTCCGTGCTCATGAGCATGGGGAATGGTGGTGGCTACCGACTTTGCACTATTGACGGCCAACTGCTACATCCCAAGCCTTCCGTGAAAAACATAGGTTTACTCTCGCGCTGCAACATGGTCCATGGATAACACAGACAGGCTATATCGTAACGGACTGCGCATGTTACGGGTGATCAAACACAGCTTTTCTACTTAGGCTGAAGTGGTCGCCGCTCGCTTCTCTTCTGTCATACGGCCAATATTAAAATACGGCTCGTCCACCGACTGTCGAATTACCCGAGATAAGGCAAAGAAGATTGAGCGGGTTAATACGTCGCTACCATGCTCTTTGCTGGTTTAGGTAGATTACCGGACGAAGATGGCTGCGAGAAATTAGGAGTCTATACTTTGTCCTATCGTCGACTGCGAGTTGATCTCATCGTGACCTACCAAATATTACATCACGGTGACTCCCCATATCGAGGCCGCTGCTTCACTTACGAACGCTATAAACCACTCGCGGACATCGATGCAAGCTTGTGCTGCTGCACATAAAGCGGGTTCCCCGCCCTCGTGCTAAGAACGGAGAGTATTAAATGTTAGGGACAGCCCGCCAGAACAAGTTGTGCTGGCCAAATCTGTTCAGTAGTTCAAAAGTTTGTTGGATTCACATTTCACCATAATTCGCTTCTGTGATGGATTACACACATGCAATGACATCTTAGGTTTGTGAGCCCAGTGAAAGTGGAACACTTAGAGTATTAACAGGTGATTGCTACTTAATGTACTATCTTTGGTCATATTCCGATGGAGTTGTACGGCTTTAAATATCTACTTGCTTCCACGATACAGTATACAGTATTCTTCAACGAATCACGGGCAATGCTGATTTTCAGCACCGCAAATATTCCCATTGTGATTGGATGAATCAAGACCAGAAATCAGTTCAAGGTTAAAAATTATTTTCGGTAAACTCTCTTCAGACCCAAACGTTTACATAACACGGATTGTTTGGGGTAAGCGTCAAATCGGGCTGGGATTGATTTCTACAGTGTTTGAAAGGCGAAGGTCGATGACTAAAGACGGTTACAGATGGTAAGAAAACTGCACCAAAGTGAATTAGTAAAAGCTTCAGCGGCCTAAAGTAAATAGACAAGGTCACAAAGGGTAGTTAAATAACCTTGTCAGTCGGCCACGGTGGTAGTATCAACCGTATGAATCGCTTTTGTACACATAATTCGGGCTTCAGATGATGGATATAAATAGCCTCGGCAATAGACAAGATTTGCTTTCGGAAGCCTTGTGACAAGCGTTCAGGTAGGGAGTAGATGACTTTAAAGTCATTCTCAGATGCAGTATGGCCACTTTCGAGGAGGTGCGACATGATTGAGCTGTCTGAGAACCTCATTTCGCCTTTGTAAAACAACGCCGGGATGTGCTCGCGAATCCTCTGGGATAGACGTCTCGTCGTGTGACCCATGTATCGTGCACCACAGAAGCACGGGTACTGATAAACGAGCATCGAAGAGTTTACCGAAAAGAATTCTTAACCCTGAACTGATTTCTGGTCTTGATTTACACAGTATTCATCAGTGTGAATCGTAAGCTTAAGCACAGGTGGTAGACTTCCCTTTTGAGTGCGCAGTTGTAGTCTTTGGCGGCTGAACTCTAGAGGCGTACTTATGGATAATTGTCTTATACGCAATGCTTAACTAAATACCAACTAAATAACTCAAATGATTATCATCAGCAATGCGAAACATGTCTGCATATTCATGGTCACGGAACTTTGAAGTTACTGTCGGTTCTTCTGTTCAGCTATTTTAGAACTGAAGGACACGAATCTGGGAGAGTACATCTTGACGCTGCACTCACCTATTGTTTCTTTACACTTTTCCTCCAGCTTGTCGTTTGCTTCATTGAGCTGTCTCTGAAGCTGCTGGTTTGTATTAATCAGCGGACTCAAACTGGGGCATTTGTGCTCCTCCCACGTTCGTTGCACCTCACTGAAGCGTTTGCATTCTTGATTTCTAATCTCAATGGCATCCTCCAAAGCCTTCTCGAGTTTACCCACTTGCCCCCGCAAAGTACATTGCTTTCGTTGTTCCTTGCTGAGCAATTCTTCATACTCCTGTTAAGTCATAACGTTATGTTCTGATCAGTATCATCAATTCGTATGATGGATAAAGCTTGATAAATGTAAACAAGACTTGTGCTAGACATCCTTCAACAGGAGACATGAGTAAAGTCATCATGAAAGAGTTAGGTGGCCCGCAATTTGCTTCAACAAATGCTGTATAAAGTTGATTCGCTTAAGACAAGTTCGAAGGCATCGGTGACATTGATAACGAGCAGAATACGTAACGGGATTTGTTAAAGTTAACCCAACGAAACCTTAAACCCCAAGCTAATAGGTTCTCTAGACCAAACCTCATAGACGGTGTGCACTTTCAGAGCAAGAGGTCAATGCCTGTCTGCTTTAATCGCTTAGCTAAAGTTTGACGTCATAAACCGTAAGTGAATAATCATATCACTATGCTTCACCTAATTTTTCAGCTCAACCGTACTGGCTTGTACTGAAGGCCACTAGGCCATATAAGCAAAAATGAAGTAGAACCATTGAAAAAACCCTTCCAGCGCGCTTTAATCGCTATACCAACTGTGATGGGTGAACAGCACAGCCGTGCCACCGAGAATAAGGTACGACACAGTCAACAACAAGGAATGGGCGAACTGAGCTTATTGGCCTCAAGAGAAGGACAAGACCGAAGCAAGCAAAGGTTACTGGAAACCCAAGGATGAGAGCAAGGACACAAAATGGAAATGAACAGCTATGTTACATCGTTTGGAATTTCTGTATGGGTTGAGTGGATTATGTTTCTAAAGAGTGCGTTATAGATCAATGTTCAAGCTTTGTTGCAACTTTACAAGTGCTGCATGCCAACGGCAAAGCACACTTGGTTGAAAAGCGAAAGATTCCATCGGTCTGACACACTGAAATGTGTTTATAGTTAAATTGGTAAATGAGTTTTAGTAATAACCAATTCACGGTTGGGATACCAGCTCTGAAATACTAGTTCTACTACTACTACTCTACTGCTACTACTACTACTGGTTCTAAGTTAGTTTTATGGGTAGTCGGTAAAGCCTAACTCAGAATTACTTGATTACAGAGGCCTGCGTTAGAGCTAGCCTAAATATTTCCTCGGTGGAATTCGTCGTCTCACTCACTACGAAAACCATTTCGAGTCGTTCAAGCATGCTTCTTATCGAGACTAAAGTGCAATTGATTTGTTCTGGATCCAATGATTCCCACCCCACATCCGAATACCTCCCTTTCCGGTTGCGACTTATCTGTCAGGTGTGTCCAGGAACTGACATATGCTCTGCTTATTTTGTAGTGAAGCTGCAAACATCCGACCATTCAGTATTTTACAGCATTGGATGTTACTGTTGTTTGTATCTTCTCACCTTGACATTTGCTCTGGTGAGTCCTGCGCAACACGTTCCTTGCCTTTGTTGGTTCGCTTTCTATTCCTTGTAGCCACTACAATATACTACGGGCCTAGCTGTTTCTATCTTCTCTACAGTTCCGCATTCAGGATGTCGCTTATGTTGCCGCTACCGAATAACATCCCAGGTATGCCCAACAATTGGTGACCCCAGCACGGAACACGCCATCCGCCAGTTTGAGTGTTCAATTTGGTGAGCTCGTTCCAGTTACATTGTGATTGATTACTTGCTGTCGCTTCGTTTTCGCATTAAACATATTGTTATTCGCTTTTTACAACGAATGATCTAGAGCATAAGCCACCTCCTTACGTGCTTAATGTCGTAACCTTAGCCTCTCCAGTTTTTAGGCGAATGATCCTTCGCAATGCTTTGCACCTATAATCTTCCACTTACATTCCTAGGATTTACTTTGATTGCGCTACGTATAATTAGCTAACACCTCGGATTCCTCAGGGTATAACCTCACAGGTGAGAGTGATATTTTCTTGCCCATTACTTGTAATGGAATACGAGACCCTCAAACAGGTCATTATTTACCTTCTGACGACTTCCGTCTGCAGCAACTATATATATAGTTAGAGATCTGCAACTAGGGGTTAGGATACCCACACTGCTGTTGCATGAAATGCAATAGCTCCTTTGCACGTCCAACTTGGACGTAGTGATTCTCTGCGAAAGTTGGATTCAACGCCTTCCTGAAAGCACTCAGGCCATCCTTGCAGTAGCAAATGACCCGCCACTTGCAGCAATTGCAGACTTAGCTGACTGTATCATTGAACGGCACCAGCCGGTGCGTGAACCTAGAGCACTTACCCAGCTTAGCACCAGCGCGTCCTCCGCGACACCAGCGACTAGCGAGCGGTCGGAAATAGACGTCTTTTCATCGCAAATAGCGTCGCTTCAGCGACAAATCGAGCTCACCTTAGACCATAAGCACCGCCCCCGCTCTACATGATCCCCCCGTAGCACGAAACCTGATGCTTTTAATCATTGATTATATGACTTGCGTTTCGGCAACACAGTCCGTAACTGCGAACAGCCAGGTAGCTTCAACGATGTGGGTGATCTTCCACACCGGCCAGTAATGGCGACTAACGACGTCGTAAAAACTCAAAGCCGTCTCATCTAATTCGGGATTGTGATTCCGAGACCCACTACTTAGTCGATATCGGGGCGGAAGTCAGCTTCACACCCCTACCTCAGGTGAGCAGACCACTTCTCTGTCGACAAGCCTAAGTGCCACCAATGACACCCCAATGACCACCAACGCTCGTCGGTAACCACCGTTGCCGCAAACCCTTTTGTCATAATCGGCATAGACTTTCTCAGGCATTTCAACCTCTTGCTTAATACGAAACGCTAGATGATAGTCAATCCTGCAGCAAACTTTAGTGTGCGGAGCATCAAAGCCGACAAAGAATCTAATCCAGACTTTGCTAGACTAAGCCAACTCGTTCTTCCACTACTCCAAACCCGTTCAGTCAATAAACCCAGCTCTGCCAGTGGCGTCCACAGTCTTACACTACATTCGGACGAATAGCCCAAGCGTCTCCTCTCGTCCAAGACGAAATTCACCGGAAAATGTTAGAGTAGCTAGCACATGGTCGAACTCAGGAAAATCCGCTCTTCAGTGAGCACTTGGTCGACCCCACTGCAGATGATTTCTAGGAAATATGGTGACTTGAGCCCTTGAAGTGACTGTCGCGCAGATAATAGGCTAACTGTCCCTGATAGGTAACCCATCCCACATATGCAGGACCTCATCCCACGCCTTACAGGTAAGGCGCTCTCCAGTAAGATCGATCTGGTTCAAACATATCACCAGGTTCCTATAGAAAACGACAGTCCTAGAACAATCGTCATCACTCTTTTTGGCCTTCTCAAATTCTTAAGAATGCCTTTCGGACTATGCAGCGCCGCATGAACGTTCCAAAGCTTTATCCAAGATGTCTATATTTCGCTTATTTCTGGCTCGATGACAATTTAGTTGCCAGTTTAACGGAGAAAGAGCAGCTCGACCATCTCCGTTCTCTCTTACAGCACTTGACCCGACACGGCGTCACTGTCAGCCGGAGTAAGTGTGAACTCTGCAAGTCAACGGTAGAATTTCTAGGTCGCCGCGATCTATATTCTGCACCAGCACCCAGCGTTTCAGGCCAGCCGTCTTGTTCTAACAATAAGTTGGCTTTGCAGGACCGATCCTGGCCGTGCTGCTGCTAAAACACTGTGACCAAAACCGTCGAGGTAAGACTGGAGTGCGTCGGCAATGATAGAAGGAACTGGCACAATAATCACTGGTCCTTAATTAGCTGGGTCAGAACGACCACCCCTTCCTAAATTGGATATATTATCCCGCGCTCCCACATTGCGGCAAAGCGCGTGTCGTCAAGACAGTACTGAAACAGCCACGCCAAGAGTTAATGCAAAACATTAACGGCCACAACAAACTTCTTTAGACGGATGTCAGCAAGTCCGAAACTGGCGCGCAGGCGTATTTACAGCAGCTTTTTCATCACGGTATCTGCCGTAAAATTATATGAGTAACTCGTGGTGGAAGCACTAGGTTCCAAAGGTCCAGGAGACCACAGGATACAATGGAACGTTCGTGTACATTATTGTTACAGAATGTTACAAGTTGCATTGACAGTCCGAGTATGACCATTTGCTGTTTGAAGGAAGGAAAATCCATTTTTCACCCTGCGAAGGATGTTCACGTGTTTGTACAGTAGCTTATGCTTTGAAGTGAATCGCTCTGCTGAAGCCTGGTGAAATGTTACATTGTCCTTGCCACTAGTTGGGTACAGTGAGTACGGTGTTTAACATCGACCTTCAAAATATTGCAAAGTATTTAGCTCAGGGGTACCAGTGGACGACCTCCAGTCAAAACCACTCTCTAGTACGTTAAATCAAGCACGGATAATGTGCAGTAGACATTTTGACATACCTAGATGCTGCCTGTGAAAGAGGACTTGAAATTATAGATGGATTTCGTTAGTTTAAGATTTGCGTACAAAGTCACAACCTCCTCACGTCTTGAGAAAATTAGAGACATCGGATATTTCTTGGGATGTTGTAATCGTTTTCGTGAAGAGCTACTGTATTCTGATTAGGAAACTTGCGTGTTCTGTTTCACAGAGCGAAAGCGAATACAAGAGTTCAGGTCTAGTTGTTAAAAATCGGGTAAAAACACCCACAGCACTTTAAGAAACGCACCACACACAGTGAATACCATAGACATGCTGAGCAACAATTGCAGAGGCCTTTATATAATTCATATAATTGAGGGACGCCTCTATTTTGATTGCGTAACGCCTGATAAGATTGTCACTCGCACGATTGGAGTACGCCTACGGTAACAGATTGGAACGCTGGCCAATCGAACGGATTTGCGTTGACCTGATGGCGTTAGCTTAGCCCGGGGTACGCGCTGATGAGACGGAAATTGAGCGAGCGTGAGAACGATCCCAGCCTCACGTATTTCGGTAAACGCTGAGCGCTCGGAACGGACACACACGAGAGGGGGTTACGGTAGACGCGTTAGTGGCTTAGACCCGAACACTGCCAAGCTAACGGCGCACACAAAAGCACGTGACCGACCGGCTCCCAACTGAGGCGAAGAGGAAAAAAAGCAGGTGGTCCTCTGAAGACTCTTTTATGACCAACAAAGGGCGAATAACAGCCAATGCTATGGATTATTAAGTTAGGGAAAACAGTTACTATGACGAGGTGGTAGTTTGCAAAAGACCATTGTCAAAAGTTGCGCAGTTGGGCCGCGTCTCGGAGTGGCTGAACTCTGCTACGTTGTGTGGAGGAATTGGACCCCACTTCCACAGCCATTATGCCGGGGTTTTTGGCACCTTTGTGCGGGGATATTTGACGGGCCCGCAGCACCTCCCCTTGAAGCGAAGCGCACCGCTTCTGACGAGGATTGATCTTGAGGGTTTTCGGCGATTCCGGATTCTTCTTGTTCGTCGGCAAGGCGGGTTCTTCAGATGCGGCGGCGATTGAGCTGCTTCGAAAGTGCTCTGTCGTTGTGTAGCCGGTCCAAAGGTATCCAGGAGGATGTACAGCGGCAGGCGCACGGGAGGGCTGGCTGGGGGTGGTTCCTCCGTGACTCGGTCGAAGTTGATTGCGATGGCGAACTTAGGTGTCATCACCCACGGAGACATCATGCGGCATGTCACCTCGCCTGGCCGTCACTACTGCTTTGATGCAGCGTGGATGACCTGCTCGGTAATCGTGAACGTAGGCCGGGACTCCAACGACGAATTCTTTGTGCTTGGTGCAGGCACCAGAGTGACTAGGTGGCTTCTCAGTCGGAATGAGCGCTTCGTTGGTGGTGCGTAGCTTGCGGCCCATCAATACTTCAGCTGGTGACTGGCATCCTGGCGTAGCTGGATTCGGTGTGGACCGGTACGAGAACAGGAGGACTTGAAGATAATCATCCACGGTCCCCTCCCCTCGAGGCTGCAAAAGCGCCCTCTTGAAGGTGTCGACAAATAGCTCCGCTTGACCATTGGACTGCGGATGGTAAAGCGGTGGGCGGAGGTGTTGGATGTAGTGTCGGCGACAAAAGTTTCCGAAGATGGAAGATGTAAACTGGGTACCATTGTCGGACACCAAAACCTCGGGAAGATCATGTTGACTGAAGATTCGTTGGAGACAACCCAGAGTGGCGGATGCGGTTGGTGGGTTGAGGGCGACCACTTCTGGCCATTTGGAATAGGCGTCGACCACGACCAGATAGGAAATGCCATCGATCGGACCAGCGTAGTCGATGTGCGCTCGAGACCACGGTTTTGCTGGCGGATGCCAAGGAACCGGTGATTGGTGCGGTGGCATGTTGGATGTTTGTTGGCACCTTGAGCAGTGCCGGACCAAATATTGAATGTCGTTGTCAATGCCAGGCCTGTGCGCATAACTGCAGGCAATTGCCTTCATTCTGTTCATACCGGGGTGAGCAGAATGGAGCTGGCGGATTACAGCTTGCCGTAGGCATGAAGGAACGACAACTCGATCTGCAGTCATGAGGCAGGAATCAACCACGGAAAGGCAGTCGCGACATTGATGTAGTTGTTTGAGTTCACCAGACAAAGTAGCGTTTGGCCAACACGTCTGAACGTGACGGCCTTCTGCAATACAGGGTCTCGAGCAGTTGCACGACGTAAGTCGGCGGCAGTGATGGGGAGAGTTCGAATAGCGTTCGAGAGTTGATAACGAACGTCCTCCCCGAGGGTAACAGCGGCAATCACTGTGTTTTCTACTGCGGCCTGTTTTGAAATTAGTCAGGAGAGACCGTTGGAT